TTGCTTCCTGGCTTTGCTTGGCTTCAGAAATAACCAAAATGAAACCAAATCTCTGAGGACTTTTTAATGACTGTTAAGAATTCTGCCAGGGGCCAGAGTGATAGTATAATAGGGACTTGCCTTGTACTGCATGCGGCCAACCTAGGTTTCATCTCACAAATCCCATAAGATGGTCTCTCAACTACTTCCAGGACTGATTCTTGAGTGCATAGTCAGGAGAAACTCCTGAGCATTATCCCCACCACCACCACCTCAAAAAATATTGGGGCAAAAATATTATGTCAGATATTAAACAAGAATGTTTTAGCAATTAACTTATGTATAAAGATTTAATATACATTAGTATGTTCCAAATTCATTCCATTTTTATTCCATCAAGTACTAAGATAGCAAGGTAGACCACTGCCGTCTTATCCTTTACAGCAGTACAAAGTACTGTTTCTGTTTCATTTCTCTTTAGTAAGTCTTAGTAAATCATATTGACTATAATTTTTTATGTATTGTAAACTTATGTAAGATTTTAAAGTCACACCTTTTTTCTTTTTCAGATTTATGGACAAGAAGTTATCATGTAAGTTGTTTTAAATCTTGTTGCTTTTTTATATATGTCTGGTTAAAATAGAACATTTTAACTGATTTTATGAAAAAATTCAGAGCAGGGGCTCGAACAATAGCACAACGGGTAGGGCATTTACCTTGCACGCGACAGACCCAGGTTTGATTCCCAGCATCCACATGGTCCCCTGAGCACCGCCAAGGACAATTCCTGAGTGCATGAGCCAGGAGTAACCCCTGAGCATCACCCACTGAACCAGAAAAGAAAAAATTCAGAGCAAACAAGAATCTCTTGATTTATATATGCTAATTTTTTTATTCGGGAGACCACCCTGGCAATGCTCAGGGACTACTCCCAACTTTCTGTTTTGGAGTTCGTGTGGTATTGGGTATTGAACTTGGTTTTCTAAATGTGAAGTGTGTGTGCCAGCCCAGTTAAGTCTGTTAATTGGGCTTATGAAAATCCTTAATAGATTATCTTATCTAATTTTGGTATTTAATAATTTTCTCTTATTTTTATTTTTATTTTGGGCCACACCGAGCAATGCTCAGGGCTTTTTCTTTTTTTTGGGGAGGGGGGGGTCACACCTTGCAATGCACAGGGGTTACTCCTGGCGGTTCTCTGTGAACTATGTGGGATGCTGGGGATCAAACCCAGGTTGGCTGCATGTAAGGCAAATGCCCTACCCACTGTGCTATTGCTCCAGCCCCGCTCAGGGCTTTTTCTGGCTCTAAATTCAGGAATTACTCCTGGTGGTGGTTGGGACACCATATGGGATGCCAGGGATCAAACTCAGGCTCTCCACTGCAAGGAAGCACCCTGCCCACTATACTTTTTTAGCCCACACTTAAATTCTTTTACAAAATTCATTAGCATTTTTTATATTTACTGTGATACTTGGAAATCAGCCCCTTTTTCCCCTTTAAACAAAGGAATTAAATAAAAAACAGTTCTGACCTGTATAGTATGGTAAAACTTTGGCTTGGGGATGGAGCAATAGTACAGTGGATAGGGCATTTGACCGACCCAGGTTCAGTTCCCAGCACCCCATATGGTTCCCCAAGCACTGCCAGGGGTAATTCCTGAGTGCAGAGCCAGGAGTACTCCTGTGCATCACTGGTGTGATCCAAAAATCAAAAAAAAAAAAAGGAAAAGAAAACCAAAAAACTTTGCTTTACAGACCAACAAGATAATACAGTGGGAAGGGCACTTATCTTGCATGCAGCCAACCCAGGTTTGATCCCCAGTATGTCATGGGGTTCACAGAGCAGTACAAGGAGTAATTTCTTAAGTGCAGAGCCAGGAGTAACCCCTGAGCACAGCTGGTGTGGACCAAAACTAATTTTTTTTAAGTTCATACTCGGCCTCCTCGTAAAAAGTAAGGATCCTTGGTAAAAATCTACCGTATATTTGTAGATTGTACCATATATTTATGAAGCCCTGAATTCGGTCCCCACACCTCTGGGAATGTCATTACCTCTCCCCACCTTTACTAGGATTGCTAGAAATTTAAATATGAAAATAAACATACTGATGTCTAGTTCTGCATCTGGCATTTAAGGGTAGTAGATTATACTTCCAACACCCTAAAAAAAATTTTTCAGGTGAACAGTTGATTGCTACTGGTCAATTTCATTGAAATTTCCTTCTCCCTTTGTAAGAGAAAGGGATGGGCAAATAGGGGTCAGTGCTTCAGTTATAATATGCATGCCAAGGTAGCTGGGGTGACTCCACAATGTGGAATATGGGAACACCTGGGGGAAAGTAGATGCTAGTAGAATTGATATTGATTATTATATGACTAAAACTCAGCCATCAACAACTTTGTAAATCACAGTTCTTTATAGTTGGTTTTAAAAAAAAAAAAAACATTTTTCTAAACTTCTTTTTGTATAGTGAAATTGAATGGTGGCAGACATGTCCAAGGAATACTTCGAGGATTTGATCCCTTTATGAATCTTGTGATAGATGAATGTGTGGAGATGGCAACAAGTGGGCAACAGAATAATATTGGAATGGTGGTATGTAAAAAGAGCTAAGATTTCTCTTAGAGGGGCTGGAAAGATGGTATGGTAATTAAGGCACTTAAGACCTTGCATGTGGGCTGAGGGGTGGGGATGCTGAGGACATTGGTGGTAGAAAATGCAGTGGTGGAAGGATGGGTGTACCATCATTGTATGACTGAAACTCAAACATGAAAGCTTTGTAAGTGTTGCTCACAGTGATTCAAGAAAGAAAAAGACCTTGCATGTGGCAGACCTCAGTTTGATCCCCAATGCCAACTGCTCCCCAAAGCATCACCAGTATGGCATTTCACCCCCACCCCTAAATTTATCTTGGGACTGGATAGATAGTACACAGGTAGGACCAGGCCCTGAGCTCCTCCAGGTGTAGCCCAAAACAATCTGACTACCACCTCACCCAAAAATAAGAAGGGTATCTTAGAGATTTGAAGGGCTGGAGCGATAGCACAGTGGTAGGACATTTGCCTTGCAAGCATCCAACATGGCCAACCCGAGTTCGATTCCTCCGCCCATCTCAGAGAGCCCAGCAAGCTACCGAGAGTATCTCGCCCGCAGGGCAAAGCCTGGCAAGCTACCCGTGACGTATTCGATACACCAAACACAGTAACAAGTATCACATTGGAGACGTTACTGGGTCCGCTCAAGCAAATCGATGAACAACGGGAGGACAGTGACAGAGATTTGAAGATTGGATGTCAGCTTTACTCCTTACAGAATCTTTTATTATGTTCAAATATGATTTTTTTCCTTTCCTTAATTCTATGTACTTTTTTACATTAGCAAGAATTTCTTGTCAAAAAAAAAGAATTTCTTGTCAAAATTTTCAAGATCAGCTAAAATGGATCTTCATAAGTCTAGTTTTCATATCTGTCCAGATTTGTTTCCTACATTAACTCATACTCTTGAACTGACATAGTCTGCTGTACCTCTTTATTAATGTGGGGGGGGGGCATTTTCATTGGAGACCTGCATTTTATATATTGTGAGGGTATTGGAACTTCACAAGCAATGCTTGTTGCCCTGAGTTTGTTTTTTGTTTTTTCAATTTTATTTTCATAAAGTTTTTCACAGTAATTGATTTTTCAACACCAATCCCACCACCATTGTTTATCCCTTCCCTCCACCATTATTTCGAATTTTCTCACCAGTACTAAAGCCTGCCCCACAGGCAGATGCTAAATTATTTAGTATTGCTTGTTATGAATAGTATAGGATTTCTAAAACTTTAAATAACTGGGGTCCAGAGACATCTGTTTCGAGCTGCCTTCTTCAGGGATTCAATTGTGAGCCTCTGGATCCTGGCCATTAATGCCTTTAAATGGCACCCAGAGGCAGTTGTGGGCAGGGAGATGGGGAGGGAGAGCCCATGCCCACCTCACATGTGGCCTATAGTTTTCAGTCACTGGTCCCATGTACCTGGGTTTTTCTTCTGGAGCCTTGTGGCCATGGGGGGTTGGGGGTGGGTCGTCGGGAGTAGGCAGAGTGCCCGAGTAAACAAAGGGCCAGAGAGATACTACAGGGGAGGTGCATGTGACTGACCCCACTTTAATTTTCCTCACCATAAATGGTCCCCTGAGCACTGCCAGAACCCAGTTCCATAACAAAAAAAGGTGCAATGATCAGTGATGTCTTAAATGAATTGTTTTCAGATTTGCTTTTCTCTTTCTTTAGGTAATACGAGGAAATAGTATCATCATGTTAGAAGCCTTGGAACGAGTATGAACAGAAGTTGTTTAGAAGTCACGTGTTTCCATGTGTTCCCGTTATTGCATCTTTTTACTAATATAAAATTGGATAGTGTACATTTTCATGAATGTTTTTGTTAAATAAATTTTTGTAATATTCAAAAATTTTGTCTTTTTTATCGGTAACTGTTCTAGAGTGGAAGAGAGTTTTGTGGGCTGGAATACAAGCTTTGCATGTAAGGGATGGGATGAGCAGGATATATGTTTGGAGCCACACCTAGGGCTACTCATAACTCCTGACTCTGCACAGGGGTGAGTCCTGGCAGTGCTTGGGGAATGCTGGGGATTGAACCCAGGTTAGCTGCATATAAGGCAAGCACCCTACCCTCTATGCTATCATTCCAGCTTCCTAGGAGGCCTAAGCTTCCCATGTGATCCCTGCTACCATATGAGGCCTTTGACACTAAAACAGTATCCCCTAAGCACTGCCAGATTTGGTTAAAAAATGGAGAAGAAAAAAAAGTAAATTGGATTTCTTTTGAAAAAATAGTAATAATTCATGGTTTTTTTGTTTTTTGGAGTCAAAGATTGAACCCAAGGCCCAAAAGTGTAAGGCAAGTACTACATTGCTGAGTTATGTCCCTACCTAATCCCAAAATTCTCATGAATTTGATGTTCCTTGACTATTCCAAGTATTTTTATATTTAAAGTATAGTAACAAAATTAAGACACAGCAAGTGGTGATGTAGTTTATTTTGAACACAAATGGGAAACAATTTTTGAAGATTAGAAATACAGTTACAGAGAAACATTCCAGTGTATTGTTGCTTTTTGTGGAGAAGATACTGATAATGCTACCCACAATATATTCAGCTAGTCATAAATTATGATACAAACCCTGATGAGATAAATTACAGATGGCTGTAACATAAAGCCTATCATTAAGAAACCTAAGAAGCAAATACTTAGGCCTGTTCTTTTCCTTTTTTTATTTTTGATCTGCTAAAAAGCATATAAATCTTGAGTTAAAACTCCAGAGCATGGGGTATAAACACAAGTACATACTTTGAAAACAATGCTGGCTTGTGTGTATCTCAAATAGTACTTCCTATTTATCAAAAAAAATGTACAACAAGAGAACAGCTTAGAGGAATCGACTAATCACAGGAATTAACATGAAGTCCAATACATATTTATTCAGCAGCTCATGTTGATATTTACAGGCTTTTGCTGATTTGTTTTGCAATGCTAGAATCAAACCCAGGGCCTCAGAACTGCATCTCCTGCCACAAACTTGCTTTTTCACACATAGAGCTAAACTATAGAATTGGTACTCTCTGATTCCCAACCAACCAGCATCACTCAGGAACAAAAAAGCAGTTTTGTGTCCAGCTTGAAATCTTGAATATTTTGGACATGAGACCCAGAGAGGCTTAACAAGCCTTTCAGATGATGCCAATAAATAGAGTTTGGAGAACTACTGGAAGAGAACTGGATTTCATCCAGCTCCTGCATGTTTGTCTTCCTGTAAAATACCTTGAATGGTCTGCAGTAAGATGCTCTGACAGTATTCTTCAAATAAAAAAATAATACTGTAATTGCAATAAAACTAGTACCTTTTTTTTTTTCTTTTGGGATCATAACGGGCAATGCTCAAGGGTTACTCCTGGCTCTGCACTCAGGAATTACTCCTGATGGTGCTCGGGGGATCATATGGGATGCAGGGATGGAATCTCGGGTTGGCCACATGCAAAGCAAACACCCTACCCACTGTAATATCGCTCTGGCCCCCAAAGTAATACTATATTAAAAGCCTGGTTTGCTCTTTAAGAAAACAATTACAGATACCCTGATGGTAAATAATCAACAGATCTGACATAGAAGCAACGTTTTAAATTGGTGTTCCTTTAAATAAAAATATATTCCACTATAAAAAGTTTATAGGTGACAAATGAACTATTTCATTAGTACTTCCCAACCTGTAGCGCATAAAATAAGCCATATTCTTCACATATTTTCTTCAATCGTAAAGGAAAAACAGCAACACCTCAAGTACTTCTTAAAGCTAACTGGTAAACCATAAATTTAATCCCTTCTCTACACAGTCTTGAAAGTTTTATTGGCATATTAATATTCACAACAGAATCATTTTAAGAATTAACATTCTTAGTGTTTTGCTGAAACAGCTACTGGTGAAATAATCGAGAAAAAATTTTAACAATACATCATCTTGCCTGCAATTTTTTATTTTTGGTGGGGGCAGGGGGAAATTTTACTTTGGTAGGTGGGAAAACATTAATATTCACAACAATCATTTTAAGAATTAACATTCAGTGTTTTGCTGAAATAGTCACTGGAGAAGTAATCTGGAGAAAAAAATTTAACAATACATCATCTTGGCTGCAATTTTTTATTTTTGGTGGGGGCGGAGGGGATTTTACTTTGGTAGGTGGGAAAATGTCCTGCTGGTATCCAGGGAACACGTGGTGCCAGGATCAAACCAGGGGCAGCCATATGCAAAGCAGGCACCTTAACCCCCATACTATCTGGTCCTTGATTGTAATTTTAAAGTTCACAAGCTTTTTATCAGTCACTCATGCATGCTCTTTAAGTAGCAATTGTAACTTCAAGTTGGGCTGCATCAGAGCCATTTGGTGAAGCATTCCAGTGTGCAATGAAAGCTGAGAATGACGGACTGATGCAGCAACCAATTTGACTCAAAATGTCGCGGTAGCTTTGACACATTTAACTGCTTGAACAGTCTTGAATCACAGCAGGCTGCCATTCTGAATATACTACTCTAGCATCAACTGCTCCAGAGTAAGGTATAAATTGTCTGCTACTAGACTCATTACATCTTGATAATATCAAGTGTGCTACTGGAGTTCTCACTGAGAATTTCTTCACAAAAAAAGTCCACTTTGACAATACAGTTGTGTTTCTTGGGACTTTTAAGGCACTAAAAACCTTTGGAGACTTTTAAGCCCTGTATCATTGATCCTCAACTCAGGTTATAAACAAGGACCTTTGAAAAAAACCCACAAAGTTCCGAGGTCTTTATTCTCAATCTATTACATCAGATTCTCAGGATGAAAGGATTTTGGGGGCCATACCCAGGAGTGCTTAGGGCTTACTCCTGGCTCTGTGCTCAGATTCCTTCTGGCAGGGCTCAGGGGATAGAATGTTCAGAGGATCACACATGGGTTAGCCATGTGCAAGGCAAGCACCCAATTCATCATACTACCTCTCCAACCCCAGTTTACTTTTCTTTTTTTTTTTTTCAAACAACATAGGGCTTTATTTTTTCTTGTGGAACAATAAGGCTAGAAATAGGCAGCAAAGATTTTCATAACACTATCACAGACTTCCTGATCTATCTCTATATTCTGTCCAGCAGTCTTAAGCATGTGGTTCTTGTTCTCATGCCTGTCGCATCTGTGTTCCAGGAAGGAAAAAGGGTATGGTGAAGGGAAAAATACAAGTTCAATGAGTTGGCTCCCTTATTTATTGTGATGATTTGACAAGAGAATGCTGATTTCTTTTTTGTTTGTTTCTTGTTTTTTGTTTAGAATGCAAACGTCTTGATCAACAGACTCTATTTGCTTCTTATTTTTCTTGAAACTTTTGTATTCATATTAAAATCATATACTATTAAGACTTCTGAATTTCAACTCTAATAAATTCAAGACAGAAAGCAATCAAAAGAACATTCTGAAAGTCAAGGCTTTGGGCATCTTTACTTTGAAAAAAGGATATAAATTATCTTTCATGTAAAAGATACAGACCTCCACATTTATCTGACTTTAAAAAGATCAATCACTGTCCACTTGTGAAGTGCAAATGTAGTAGTACCCCAGCCAAGAGTACGTCTTTAAATTCTTCAAGTGCAGTTTAAAATGTTCGAAGCATTGGTTCAAACTCCAGGGTTCCACCTTCAGACCTTTTGAATCAAAAAATCCAGAGAATTGCTCTCCTGGTTTATAACCGCCAGAGAAGCCAGAGAATCCTTACATCTAACGAACTCCAGGTGATTTTTTTGGTTTGTTTTCAATTTTGTGGTCCCTTCTGGTGGTGTTCAGGGACTACTCCCAGGTTGGTGCTCAGTGATCATTGCCGGCAGTGCTCAGGGAACCATGTGGTGCTGAGAATAGAACATGAGAAGCTTGAGCTCTAGCCTGCTGACCTAGCATCTCTGGCCCCTCCAGGTGATTCTTATGATCAGACAAGTTTGGGAAATAATGCTGATGAATATTAAAAGAATTAAGTTTTTGGAGATGGCCTAAATCTACTAGTTACATCTTTATGCTCAGTTTAAAATCTTGTGTGTTCTCATGACTTGCTGGGATTACCTTTGTTACATGATGATGATGATAATGGCAAAACATCAGATTGCAAATCAACTCTGCTCAGACTGAATTATTTTCTTGCCAGTGATAATCCATTTGGAACCAACACGCATGGAAAACAGTGAGACGGAACTTCACAGTTCTACTTTAAGCCTCTCATATAACAATTCTTGGTCAATCATGTCTTCGTACCCATTCCAGCGGTTATAAACCAGGAGAGCAATGTTGTGGGCTGAGATGGCACTCATTTCCATGGCACTAGCCGCACACTCGATGCTGTTGAGGTAGTAAACGTGATCATGGAGGATGATGGAGGGACATTTCTGGGGAGGTTGATAGCGAGGATATGCAAGCCACGGCTGCTTTGAAGCATATATGTAGCTATTAAAGAGCCTTGCAATTTGATGTTTAGTCAGAGTCTCTTGGGCAAACATCTTCCAAATACCTGACCCATCTTTTGATGGTTGGATATAACTCGGTTCATATACAGAGGTCACAAGTCCAATGCTGTTGACAAGCAACTTTGATTTGTCTGTTGTTAAGATGGTACTATAGCCAAAACCATCTCTGCACTTGGCACAAAACAAATATGTGTTCAACCGCCCCTTCACGAAAGTTGTCACTATAGGCTGGTACTGTTGCTGGAATTCCTCAATTGGAGGATCAAAGTTGAGAAAAGTTATATTGGCTATTTCTGGAATCAAAGGAGTGGCCACCAAGATAACTTCATAGGTGTCTGAATAAGTCTCAGACCCAACTTGGTAAACCACTTCATACGTCCTTCTGGGATCTCCTAAAGGAAAGAAGGAAGCAAACCTTCTATTTTTACACATTCCATACCTTCAAAAATAATTCAGTAGCCTCAATAGTTTATAGGTCTAAATAATTAAAGAAATTATATCCTTTAAATTAACTCTCCCTGCATTTGATACTTTGAGATCATTTCCTATTCTGAAAGAATACATTGTCAAAAAGTACAAATAGAAAATGTTTACCCTTTTGTCTTTGTTTGTTTGTTTGTTTGTTTTGGGACCACACTCTGTAGTTCTGATCTACTCCTGGCTCTGAGCTCAGGGGTCACTCCGGGTAGGGCTCAAGGGACCATATGTGGTGCTGCAGATCAAGTTCAGGTCTCCTGTATGTAAGGCAATCACCCTATCAGCTCCACTATCTCCCTGGCCCCCAAATTTTTTCTTTGTGAGCATAAATTTTTTGGTTTTTATTTTAATCCAGAGTCATACCACTATACAAGAGCACAGCTGGGAGTAATTCAATACAGGACAATACACACAATTCAAATTCCATTATCTGAAACTGACAAGTGCTAGAAGATTCAACAGCTTTTTGCTCTGCAAGGTCTTATTCCCCCGATCTTCTCCAAATTTTAAATAAGGAATGCTAAAATAGCAGTTCAAGCTCACCTGGATTCCTTTTCTTTGTCTTATCCTCTATGAACATTACTGAGCCACGTATGAGATTGCTTTCAGAATTCTCAAGTAGCCCTGAGCAAACAAGTTTGTTGCCACCTTCCACTGACCAAAGGCCAGAATCAGTAGAAGCCATTGACACCGCTCCTGTCATTGGAATGGAAAACCAGATTATTTTCATTCTCCACTCTATTTCACTCTAGGGTATAGTTAGAGCACCACCAGGAATTCGCTCTAGTCACTCTCCCTTCCCAGGAAGGGGTTCTGCTTCAAATGTCTGCAGGCACCAACAAATGGCCCAGGGGAAAATCTTTCCCTAACAGGCATGTGTAACAGGCATGCACATTTCTCCCCCATAAACATGCAACAGCCACATATACATAGTCAACTATGACTATGTATGTATGACTATGTATGACAGATAATGGAGCATTTGTGTAGTGAGGGGGAGAAAAAGGAGGGCTGGGGGCTGGAGGAGGAGGCCCACTCCTGGTGGTGCTCAGGGGCTATTCCTGGTTCAGTGCTTGAAGGGAGCTGCTATGTGCAAAGCAAACACTCCAGCCTTTTAAACTATCTCTCCAACTTATGGCGTGAATTCAGAAGCCACTGAAGCATTTGATAAACCCCTCTGTGAACCAAGGTCAACAGCTGTTTAAACCTTGACTTACCCACAAAGCCATTGATGCTCGTGCTTTGACCATAATTGACCCTCATGATGGGAGCAACAATTTCACTGATGAATTTCTGATTGAAGCCAGCTTTCTGCAAGGTCTCATTAAGTGTCTGGTTAAGCATTTGAAGGAAGTCATCCCCTCCTAGAGAGTGTAGCAACTTTTCTACGCTACTAAAGGCATATTCGTGGGATTGGTAGCGGTAGATCCTTTTGAAAAGAGAAATGATCATTAAATACCAAACAGGATGAGGGGGCGGGGGTCGAGGGGGCTAGGATGCATAAAGGGAAGAGCACACTAACTTTCAGGTTTCCAGCTGATGGGTCCCGTGAGACATATCTGTCACCACTATTCTCAGATCTCTCCCTCCCTCCTCTGGGAGCGGATTGTCCCTCTTACTCTCTTCTGCATGAATATGCTCATTAGAAGATACAGGGGCTAAGACACTTAGCTTGCAATACAGAAGACCCTGATTCTACCCCTGATACCATATATGGTTCCCTAAGCACCACCAAGAGTCACTCCTGAGCACAGAGACAGGAGTAAAGCCCTGAGCACTGCTGGTTATGGACCATCCACCCCTCAGACATGGGTGTGTTGGTGTGTGTGTGTGTGTGTGTGTGTGATTAGAACATTAGAAAGAGCCTTTAATGAGGTTAACAAAGTTGGTGTGCTTTCTTCTCATTCACTGTTTATCTTCCAGAAATACTCTGGTACTATAAAATTAACTTTTTTTTTTAATCTTCCCACCACATTTAATTGTCTCCATCTACATACCACCCCTCCCATCCCAACAAAAAACAACAGGGCATTCCTAACATCCTACATATTACCCTCACATTTTATTTCATTTCTTTTCTGTTTGCTTGTTTTGGGGTCACACCAGGCAATATTCAAAGGTTATTCCTGGCTCTGCACTCAAGAATCATTCGTAGTCACACTCAGAGGACCATATAGGATGCCAGATATCAAGCCCAGGTCAGCTGTGGGCCAGGCAAGCAGTAAACCTGTGGGGCTCCCTCTCCAGCCCCTCATTTCATTTCAAATTTTAAAGACTTTTTTTCTGCTCTCCTTCTGTTTCTTCCGCCCATCCAAAAAGGGGAAAATGTCAGTTTTCCTAATATCTCTTATTATTCCATTATTCATTACTCTTCTTGGGTTTTTTTTTGGGGGGGGGGCGGGTCACACCCGATGATGCACAGGGGTTACTCCTGGCTGTGCACTCAGGAATCACTCCTGGCAGTGCTCAGGGACCATAAGGGATTCTGGAATCGAACCCAGGTCGGCCACATACAAGGCAAATGCCCTACCCGCTGTGCTATCACTCCAGTGCCAATCACTACTCTTTTGCTACTCACTCTCCTTAAGTCAGGATTTATATTCAAATAACAATAACAAAAAAATTAATCTACCTGCTTCTAATTTTTCTTTGAAAGATTTATGAATCCCCCAAAAGCCTAAAATTACCTTTTATTTTGTTATCTATTCACTTATTCAACAAACACCTTATTAAACACATTTTTGGGGGACTGGAGCAATAGCACAGCGGATAGGGCGTTTGCCTTGCACACAGTCAACCTGGGTCAATTCCCAGTGTTCCATATGGTCCCCCGAGCACTGCCAGAAGTAATTCTCAAGTTCATGAGCCAGGAGTAACCCCTGCATCACTGGGTGTGAGCCAAAAAGCAAAAGTAAATAAATAAATACATTTTGGGGGAGAGGGGTCTACTCCCAATGGCGCTCAGGATTTACTCCTAGCTATGCTTAGGAATCACTCCTGGCTGGTTCAGGGGACCATATGATATGTCAGTGGTTAAACCCAGGTCTGCTATGTGCAAGGCAAACACCTTACCTGCTGTACTATAACTGAGGCCCCTAAACAAGTCTTGATGATAGCTAGAATCTGGAAAAAAAATGAGTGCCCGAGAACAGATGACTGGTTAAAGAAACTTTGGTACATCTACATAATGGAGTACTATACAGCTGTTAGAAAAGATGAAGTCATGAAATTCATATACAAGTGGTACTACATGGAAAGTATCATGCTAAGCGAAATGAGTCAGAAATAGAGGGACAGACATAGAAAGATTGCATGCATTTGGGGAACATAAAGTAACAAAATAGGAGATTAACACTCAAGAATAGCCAAGGTAAGTACCAGGAGGATTACTCCATGGCTTTGAGGCCAGCCGCACACGCTAGAGGAGAAGGCAGCTCAGATAGAGAAGGGAGCACCAAATAAAGGGTGTTGGGAGGTTCCTCTCAGGATGGGAGATGCGTGCTGAGTAGACTATAGACCAAACATGATTGCCACTCAATGTCTCTTTTGCAAACCACAGCACTCAAAAGGAGAGAGATAACAAAAGGGAATGCCCTGCCACAGAGGTAGGGTGGGAAGGGGGGATGGGGAGTGGGAGGGATACTGGAATCAGTGGTGGTGGAGAATGGGCACTGGTGGAGGGATAGGTATTCAATCATTGTATAACTGAAACCCAAGCACAAAAATTTGTAAGTCTACAACTGTACCTCATGGTGTTTCACTAATAAAAATTTAAGGAAAAAAAAAAAAAACAAGTCTTGATGTTTGAATAAAAGGTAAAGGTAAAGGCCCTCCTGTTGATCGTCGATTTGCTCGAGCGGGCCCAGTAACGTCTCCATTGGAGACTTTGTTGTTACTGTGTCTGGCATATCGAATACTCTCGGTAGCTTGCCGGGCTCTCCGAGAGGGGCGGAGGAATCGAACTCGGGTCGGCCATGTTGGCCGCTTGTAAGGCGAACGCCCTAACCGCTGTGCTATCGAATAATTTAAAAAAAAAAAAAAGAGGGGCTGGATCAGTAGCACAGTGGGTAGGCATTTGCCTTGCATGTGGCCGACCCGGGTGCAAATCCCAGCATCCCATATAGTCCCCTGAGCACTCACTGCCAGGAGTAATTGCTGAGTGCAGAGCCAGGAGTAACACCTGAGTATCGCCAGGTGTGACCCAAAAAGCAAAAGAAAAAAAAAAACAGAAAGCCAAAAAAATACAGCTGTTAGGGCACTTGACTTGAACACTGCCAAACTGATTCTTGGCACCCCATATAATTCCAGAGGACCACCCTAAATGCAGAACCATAAGTAAACCCTGAACCCTACCGGGTACGTCCGCAAAACAAAACAAACAAGGGGGGGAAAAAAAGTCCTTGGAACTGGAGCAACAACACAGCAGGTAGAGTGTTCGCCTTGCTTTCAGCTGACCCGGGTTCGAGTCCCAGAATCCCATATGGTCCCCTGAGCACCGCCAGGAGTAATTCCTGAGTGCATGAGTCAGGAGAACCCCTATGCATTGGCTGTGTGTGACACACACACACACACAAGCCAGTTTTTAGAATCAAACTCACCTAAGTGTGTGCCTAAGAAAATAGGCTGGAGGCTAAGGCACTACAGGTCCCCAACCTCCAGTTCAGCCCACAGCACCGCAGGATCCTCTGAGTACCGCAGAGAGTCATCCCCAACCAGAGTGGGGAGTAGTTCCCAAAGTGGTCAAGCGTGGCCCAAAAATAAACTCATATACCCACATCAAGTCTAACTTCATTATTCTGATTGCAAACAGATAAAATAGAAGGGCTGGAGAACATGCCTGCCACGTGGGACGCCCCGGCTTGCCCAGCACTGCCTGCTCGAGAACAAACCCCAAGCACCACACCAAGAGGAGCCCCTTCCCGGCGGCTGAGCTGCTTCTCGGCCTTCATGGAGCTCTGGTTCCCTATCCCTGAAGCTCTGGGGAGAGGGTAGGAGTGCTCCTGCTGGATGGCAGCTGTGTCGGCCTGCCCTCTCCCAGGTACTGCCATGGTTTGCACCCTCACCTCGCCAGCTCTTCACCTGGTCCTTCTCAGGGGCACCTTCCTTCACTAGTCTACTTGGTTGGGGGAGTATTTTGCAACCATATCAGCTCCAAGCATTTCCAATCTTCTTTTTCTATTAGTTTTCTTTTTCTTTCTTCTGAGATACCAAACCAGGGTCAGCCATGTGTAGCAAGTCCTTATTACCTGTACTATCTCCACAACCCCTTTTTTGATTTTGCTCCTTTAAATCTAGCTTGTAATTTACCTGCCCTTATCCCTTATTTACTTTTTTAATCTATTTTTAATGTTTTAATATTCATTTGTTTTTTTGGGGGGGGGTTGTTGTTTTTTTTGTTTTTTTGTTTTTTTTTTTGCTTTTTGGGTCACACCCGGCGATGCATAGGGGTTACTCCTGGTTTTGCACTCATGTATTACTCCTGGCGGTGCTCAGGGGGACCATATGGGATGCTGGGACTCGAACCCAGGTTGGCCACGTGCAAGGCAAACGCCCTCCCCCCTGTACTATCACTCCAGTCCCTATTCATTTGTTTTAAAAGACTCTTTTTTTGGAGCCAGAGAGATAGTACAGTAGGTAAGGCCCACTGCACTATTGCTCTGGCCTCCTGACTACGTTTTTCGCAACTAGTTCTTAACTACACAAATATCTGTAATATTCACTTCAAAACGAATTTATTCAATTAATAATATAGCCCAGAAGTAGAGAGGTGTGTTTTTATGGTTAAGGCCCTGAGATCAAAACTGGGGGGATTGGGGCTGGAGTGATAGCACGGTAGATAGGGTGCTTGCCTTGCATGCGGTAAACCCGGGTTTGATTCCCAGCATCCCATATGGTCCCCCAAGCACCACCAGGAGTAATTCATGAGTGCAAAGCCAGGGGCATTTCTGGGTGTTACCCAAAAAGAAAAAAAAATTGGGGGGGGGGGGGGCGAGAGGCTGGAGGAATATTACATCAGGTAGGGCATTTGCCTTGCACGCGGCAAACCTAGGTTCAATTCCCAGCATCCCATATGGTCCCCTAAGCACTGCCAGGAGTAATTCCTGAGTGCAGAGCCAGGAGTAACCCCTGTGTATCACTGGGTGTGACCCCAAAAAGCAAAAAATAAAAAAAAAATAGGGGAGGGGCAAGAGAATAAAGCAGTACAGAGATTAAAGTGATTGCACTGAATCTGACTGCAGCCACAAACCTGATTCAAATGCCCAGCCCCACACAAGGCCTCACAGCATGGCCAGATATGGTCCCTGGGCACAGAACCAGGAGTGAACTCCGAGCATTATCAGTTTGGCCAACAACAACAAAAAAAGGGCCAGACCTTGTTCTGTGTAATCAACCCAGTTTAACTTTTGGCACCACAGACAGACTGCCCAGCATTGCCAAGAAGCCAGGAAGAGCCACTGCGCACTGCCAGAAAGAGCCCCCAAATAAAAACATAGAAAAAACAAAAAAAAAACAGAAATCAATCCCCAGCCATCATCACCCCACACCCCCCAACCTCTGTGAAAAAAAAAAAGTTTCTAAATATGTTGTTCTTCATTACCCAAGTCATTGCCAACACTTAGTGTAAGCCTATAGATTATACAGAATAACAACAAAAGACATACACACAAGCAGAACTACCCTTGATGCTATTTGAACTTGATTTTCCTGTTGAGCATGCAACATGTTTATAGGCTGGGTCTGAAAGTAAGTGGCATTCTCAGCATAAATTTGTTTTGGGGTCAGAGAGATAAGACAGCAGGTAGGGCACTTGCCTTGCACACAGCCAACCGGGGTTCAATCCCCAGCACCTCATATAGTCCCCCAGGAGTGATTCCTAAGTGTACAGCCACACCCAGCTGTGCTCAGGGACAGTACTGGGGGAACCATTATGTGGTACCAAGGGTGGAACCTGGGTCAGCAGGATACAAGGCAAGTATCCTTACCCCTGGACTATCTCTCTAGCCCCTGAAGTCTTCATTTAAATTGTTGGGGCAGGGATTCACCAGCCCTGCTCCACCAAATCCTGACTCCCAGGAAATGCACCTTATGGCAGCACTGTACTCCACAGCTAAAGACCCCAGAGCGCCCATGGGAGGCAGGCAGGCGAACACCTGCCAAACCAAGGTTCACGCAGCAGTAACCATCCCTACCACTACAGCTATGCCAAGGGCTCAACGCCACCACCCCATGAGTATTCTCTATAGAAACACTGATCTCCAAATAATTTCAGGTAATTTTTTTTTTGTCTTTTTTGGGTCACACCCGGTGATGCACAGGGGTTACTCCTGGCTCTGCACTCAGGATTTACTCCTGGTGGTGCTCAGGGGACCAGATGGGTTGCTGGGGATCGAACCCGGGTAAGCCACGTGCAAGGAAAATGTCCTACCCACTGTGCTATTGCTCCAGCCCCCATTTCAGGTACCTTTGAATTCTGGTGTTTTTATTCAGAGTCAGGGTGGGTAGCCTCTCCCCAGCCACCATCTTTCCTGAAGTCCCAGCAGTCCTGCCCACCACCCATGTCTGCGGCCTTGTTCACTCTTTGGCCAAGACCACAGATCTGGAAGTGTCTGGACTGTGCAGCCACAAAGGTGACACCTCCTGACATAACAAAAAGCTTAATAAATTCTTAGAGGGGGCTGGAGCAATAGCACAGCGGGTAGGGCATTTGCCTTGCACACATCCGACCCAGGTTTGATTCCCAGCATCCCATATGGTCGCCTTGGACTATATGCCCTCCCACTTCTCTCTCTCTCCCCAAGCTTACAGTCTTAGTTTATATAGCAATCACGTAAGGCAGTGACACAAAGGTGGGTTGAACATTGACAAATCAACAATAAGAGGTAAGACCACTCCTCCAGGAGATTAACTCAAGGACAAAGTTTCATCTAAAGAGATTACTCCATATTACTAGGAGATTTGCACAAGGGTGGGATCCTAACAAGGGTGTGTTCTTTCCTCAGCTAGTAATCTACTTAAATAGTTGTAATAAATCTACTTCTAATATTTCTAGCAATGTCATTCTGTGTGAGCACAGTAAGAGATATAAACTTGCAGTCTAGTTCTTTCTGAAAATATCTCACTATACATTCTGCAGTCCTCAGGCCAGGTTAGTCTTCCTAGCCCCAGCAGGGTCCTAGTATCGTCGTTACTTACTTTTGGATCATGACAGCATTTGTCCATGATCATGCCCTCAACTTATAGTTGAGTATCGTGGCACTTTGGCCTGGCCCATTTCGATGCCAGGGTAGCTCACAGCTTGCCCTGGGTCCATTCAGTCCCTCCTTGGGACCCTGCTTTTGGGGTGCTAGGAACTAAGGGCAACTGAGTCAAGAAAGCAGATGCCCAGGAGTAAATATTATTCGGAGTCAATCAACTCCCAAGTTACAAAGCATAATATTAACTGTTTTCCTGTGTCCATACAGAAAGGACATTGCTTTAAGGTAAACTATTCAAAAGACGTAAGGAGAGGAGAAAGGCAATATTAACTTATAATACAAGTTCAGTGCCCTGGGATGGGTATGACCTAAGCTACCTGAGGAAGGACAAAACAGTGTTATCCTACACCCTCAGCATCGCTAGGGGTAATTTCTGAGTGCAGAGCCAGGAGTAACCCCTGTGCATCGCTGGGTGTGACCCAAAAAGCAAAAAAATACAATAAAAAATCAAAATAAATAAATTCTTAGACAAGAACCTACCAACCCTGCAATCAGATATAACAATGTTCACATAAATTTATTTTCTAGATCTATTGATTTTAATATTGTAACTTTGTTATCTAATCAACTTTAATCCTAAAATTGTATCAACAGTTGCTGGTTTTCACTACATTAAAAAAAAAATACATTCTCGGGGGGCTGGAAAGATAGCTCAGCGGGTAGGGCGTTTGCCTTGCACGCGGCCGACCCAGGTTCGATTCCCAGCATCCCATATGGTCCCCTGAGCACCGCCAGGAGTAACTCCTGAGTGCAGAGCCAGGAGTAACCCCTGTGCATCGCCAGGTGTGACCCAAAAAGCAAAAAAAAAAAAAAAAAAAAAAAAAAAAACACCACATTCTCGAGGCAGGCCTGGAAAAACAGTGCAGTGGGTAAGGCACTTGCCTTGTACTTGGCAGACTGAGTTCTATCCCCAGCACCCCAGATGGTCCTCTGAGCCTCACCAGCAGCTGTGATCCCTTTGCACTGAACCAGCAGTTAAGTCTTGAGCACTGCTGGGTATAGCCCCAGAACAAAAACAAAATTGTTTAAATAATAATAAATCCTTAGGGCACAGAACTTCTGGGTAGGTACTGGCTCACTGAAATAACACGCTACAATGAATCCTCCTTCAAGTTTTCAGATCGGGGCTGGAGCAATAGTACAATGGGTAGGGCATTTGCCTTGCATACTGCCGACCTGGGTTTAATTCGCAGCACCCCATATGGTCCCCCAGCACCGCCAGGAGTAACCCCTGTGCATCGCCAGGTGTGACCCAAAAAGCAAAAAAAAAAAAAAAAAAGTTTTTCAGATCCCCTAGAATTGTGGACGAGTTACCACAGTCATATACACAACACTAGCACAGTACAGGGATTAGGAGTACAGACTCTGGATCCATCATGTGGCTTACTAGTACTGCACATGCCTCCGATATGCTCTACTTTTGTGTGATCTACTATTGGCACCAGTACAGGTGCAGATTTTACTTTGAAAGATGTAGCCTAGGGGCTGGAGCAATAGCACAGTGGGTAGGGTGTTTGCCTTGCATGTGGCCAACCCGTGTTCAATTCCCAGCATCTATATAGTCCCCTGAGCACTGCTAGGGGTAATTCCTGAATGCAGAGCCAGGAGTAACCCCTGTGCATCGCCGGGTGTGACCCAAAAAGCAAAAAAAAAAAAAAAAAGATGTAGCCTATTTCGATGGGGAAGCAGGTGGCACTATGACCATGATCTGTGGCCACCAGCCAAACCTGGCAGTGCTTTAGAGGCCATGGGTGTAGGAATTGAATAAAAAAAAAAGACCTCACACATTAGCTAAGCATGTGTTCTACCACCTGAGCCACATACCTAACTATAGGTTCTAAACCCAGCACTGCACACACCAAAAAAAATAAAAAGGGTATAGACACTGGAAGCAGCTGTCTGGGTAAGAACCCCAGTTTACAACCTTTCGAGTGTACCTTGAGTAGATAGATATGTACAAGAGTACATGTGAAATCTCTCTATGCCTCCACCTTCCACACCTATAAAGAGCTGAGAACAGGGCCAGAGAGATAGTACAGCAGGTAAGGTGCTTGCCTTGCATGTGGCTCACCCTAGTTCAATCCCCAACATCCAATATGGTCCTCTGAGCCTTACCAGGAGTGATCCCTGAGCACAGAGCCAGGAGTAAACCCTGAGCACCGCTGCATGACCCTCCCCCCCCCAAAAAAAAAACAAATAACAACAACAACAAAAAAAAAACCTGATGGGGGCTGGAGAGATAGCACAGCGGGTAGGGCGTTTGCCTTGCTTGCGGCCGACCCGGGTTCGATTCGCAGCATCCCATATGGTCCCCTGAGCACTGCCAGGAGTAACTCCTGAGTGCAGAGCCAGGAGTAACCCCTTTGCATCTCCGGATGTGACCCAAAAAAGCAAAAAAAAACAAAAAAGCAAAAAAAAAAAACCTAAGAACAGTACCTACCTGCGAGCTATCGTGTGAACTGAAGGTATTAATATGTCGATGACTAAGGGGGTCTAGCAGCACTATACACATATTTACAAAACACATTTTCAGAGGTAAAAATCAACTACCCTTTCAATTTCCAAATGGACAGTGTGTATATTTTCTATATAAAACATCTTGTTTACCATTCTTAAAAACAAGCGTTGTGGTTCCAGAGGACCCGATCCAAGAAATTCATCCCTACCAAAAGATCTAGTTAAATGGAAGGGGGCAAAGAGAAGAATTACCTCATAAACTTGTCTAATACATCTTCTACCCACATATGCATTCGAAGGGACTGAAGTCCATAATGCCAAATTAGTTTAAGAATGTTCACTATAAACCAGGAGCTCTCCTCAAACACCATTTTCTCTCCATTATACACCCCTGTGACGCCACCAGAGAGTTCAAGAGTCGGGAGGCCTGCAAAAACAGAAAAGAGGACTAAGAGAGTGGCTTCTATGATAACTGAATATTACTGGGGACACTATGAAGTTAATGAATTCTAGGCACAGGCCCACTTCTCAGAGACTACTAAAGGAGCCTTATCTTAGGGCCAGAGCCATAGCACAGCAGGTAGGGTGTTTGCCTTGCACACAACCAACCTGAGTTTAATTCCCAGCATCCCAAGCACTGGGGCACTGTAGCACTGTCCTCTTGTTGTTCATTGATTTACTCGAGTGGGCACCAGTAACGTCTTCATTGTAAGACTTGTTGTTACTGTTTTTGGCATACCGAATACGCCACGGGGAGCTTCCCAGGCTCTGCTGTGCGGGTGGGATACTCTCAGTAGGTTGCCGGGCTCTCTGAAAGGGACAGAGAAATCATACCCGGGTTGGTTGCGTAGAAGGCAAATGCCCTACCCACATGTGCTATCACTCCAGTCCCCCAAGCACTAGCAGGAATAATTCCTGAGTACAGAGCCAAGGGTAAGCCCTGAGCGTCACCAGGTCTGCCCCAAACTACCCCCCCACACACACACAAAATCAATAATAATTAAGGAGTCTCTTGTTGAGAATAGAGTATTGAGAATAGAATAGAATAGACACACTCACTATGCTGTCTAAAAGCAGATGCTGAAAGATGACTATGTGGGTGTAAACACTAGATTTGGCTTTTAGGGATTGGTTTTTGTTTTTTCAGGTTTGTTTGGGGGCCACACCAGTTTGGGGGCCAGCTACTCCTGGCTCTGTGCTTAAGAGTACTTCCTGCAGGTGGTCTGGGACAAAATTTTATTGAGGAATATCTCAGAGTTCTGAGGAGGGACTAAACCCAGGCCTCCTGCATGAAAGACAATGGGGGCAGGAAGGAAGGGGTGTGGGGGGGGGAGGAACATGATTGAACTCGACATAAAGACTGAAATGTCAGACATAAATCTTTGTGTGGCAGAAATGGTTCCTCAATGTGGCCAGAGAGATAGATAGTGCAGCAGATAGGGGGTTTGCCTTGCACGCAGCTGTCTGGAGTTCCATCCTTGGTCCCCCAGATGGTCCCCTGAGCACTGCCAGGAGTAATTCTTGAGTGCAGAGCCAGGAGTCAGCCCTGAACACCACCAGGGGTGGCCCCCAAACCAAAATGAAATAAAATAAAATAAACTGTTCCTGGCAAACAACTGTCCTCGGGGAGGCAAGGGAGCATCCACTGGGAGCGTGAAGGGCACTGGGGGAAAGTGTCCCATACAAGCGCTATTTCACATAACCAGATATTCCAGATAACTGGAAAGCCAAAATGACACATGTTCCCCAGGCAAAGGGCCTGCAGAGGCCTGCCACACTTACCTCGAACCTGCCCCACAAACCCGCTCACACAGAAGCAGTGGCTTAGTTCTCCCAGGTTTGCCTGTGGCTGTGCGAGTTGAAACCAGCCACTTCGGGCCTCCTGTGGGTCTCTAAAGGTGGAAACTGAGCCCACCAGCTACCTGTTAACTCAACCTCCGGATTCTTCAACAGAAACCCAGAGGTTTAGGAGGTGAGCACAGCAGTCACCGCTGCCACCCGCACGCCCGTGGCTGTAATTCCAGCTAACCGAAGCTACAGATACCCCATGTCCATTACAACAGAGGTGCCTACTGAACAGTGCCCAGGCTAACAGGAAGGGGTAGCAACAGCCTCACCAACTTCTCTATAAAAGGCAATTAACCAGGCAGTTTCAGTTCCCTCATTGACAGGGAGTCGGACAACTCTGATGATCCCACAGGCATTTGCGTAGCTGGAAAACCAAATTACATACCCAAGTCCTTGACAAAGCGCTTCATGTGCAGATTAAGAGGATGGATGACAGCGCCTCCCGCCTCATACTCTTGCCCTTGCACAACCGTGGTGGCCAGACGGCCTCCCACCTCTCCTCTCTCAAACACGTCAATCTTCACACTCCTGCCAAATTTCTGCCGTAGATAGGAAGCTGCTGATGTGCCACCAATACCGGCTCCAATGATTGCTATGGGAGAGGCAGGTTAAGAACGTGAGTTTTGGGGTTTTTTTAACTCTTGGTCCAGTTATGAGTGTTTTGTTTTTCTATGGAAGCTTTTCGAAGGGCCCTTACCTAATAATCAATTTAAGACTATCAGTAACAACTTAGGCATGCCTGGAGACTGGGAAGCAAAGAAGAGAAAACTCAAAATCTGGAGATGTGGCCCCAGATGACATTCAATTAAATTACAAATTGGCATTAGTTGATTTTCTGGAGTTTTTTGGGGTTTTTTTTTTTTTGTATTTGGGATTTTTTAAATTTTTTTTTTGTTTTTTGTTTTTGCCGGATGCCCAAAGATTTCCAGTTCTTTGCTGACGCTCCACTGGGCCTGCACATCCTTCTTTGTGCCCAAAGCATGCAAGAGCGGGGGTGGGCCTTCCCAGTCCGCACTGCAATGAAGGGGACGCCATGTTTGCCCAGGATGGTCGTCTTATTAATAGGGCCAGGTGAAGGACCCTCAAGCACCCAGCTCTAAGGGAGATCAAGCAGAGCGAAGCAAAACAAACTGGGGGAGGCGGGAGAGGAGAGAAGCTAGGGAAGGACCAGGTGCCTGGGGGTGGGGGGGGAGGGGTGGCTGCGACCCCGTCCGCAAGGCCAGCCCCTGTGCCAGCAGGCCTTGGTGCGCAAGGAGACCTCGGCGGGGTGGCCTGGGTGGAAGGGGGTGCCAGCCCCGGCCCGGCCAGCCAGCCCCGCCGCGCGCGCATGGTGCCCTCGTGCGCCTGACATCTGCAGAACTAGCAGCGGCCCAACAGCTCCGGATCCGGGCATGAAGGCAGATTAGAGCCGAGGTGTGGCCAGTGAATAAGGGGCTTGGGCCTCCCTGGAGCCCTGGGCCTCCGAGACTGGGGCTGCAGGGTGGCTGGGTGTGTGCGTGCGTGCGTGCGCCAGCCCGCCCGCGGCCTCCCCGCCACGGCCCATTCCACAAGTGGCATTAATCTGCACGCCCGGGGAACGCACGGTCTCCGGGGCTTGGAGAGGGACGCTGGGGAACCGGGCACGGCGAGACCGGTGCGGGGCTCGGCGTGCTCCCCAACAGCGGCCAGGCTGCGGCCAGGGCTGCGGGGCTCATGCCCACCTCCACCCCTCCCGCCCACTTCTCTCCTACCGATCTTCCGCGGCGGGGGCCGCCGCTGGGCATTCCCAGGGCACCCCCAGCTGCACAGCAGCAGCAGCCCCAGCCCCAGAAGCGACGAGAAGAGCGGCCGGGCCGTGCGCCCCATGTCTCCGCCAAGCGCCGCAGACGCACCCGAGCGCCAGACAGTGGCAGGGCCGCGGCGCATCTGCGCGCTCCGCCCGCCCCGCCCCCCGCCCCGCCCCCCGCGCGCCCGCCCACGCGGGTCTCGAGCGCCCGCGCCGCCGCCCCGCCTTCCCTGAGCTCACCACCGGGCCCCCACGGACTCCCCCACCCCAAACCCAGCCCGTCCCGCCGCGCCTCCGAAGCCCACCCCGCTTCGGGCAAACCCCAAAGACACCCAAGAGGTCTCTTCCCCAGCTCTCTGGGGGGAACACCTGAAGTCTTCGCTAGCCCCTTCCTTCACTCGCTCCCTCTTGCAGAAGGCACGCAGCTCTAAGTATTGTCAGAAAAAGAGTCCTACCATTCCAGGCACAACTGTGCAAATGGCACTGGCACTGCTGTGTAAATGATAAATGGTGCTAGATGAAAGAATAATGAGGAAGAGTGGAGAGATGGGGTGTTGCAGATTGAGGGAAATGGAAAAGCAGGGATAGGTAGGATTAAAAGCTGTGTCCTCATGTCATAAGATATGATATTACGCAAGCATCAAAGAAGAATGTAGGATCTCTAATAATTGTCCTAGTATGAATGGATTCTTTTTTTAAAAAAAGAAAATGGTTTCTGGTTGATGCGGATTATATGATTACATCTCTGTGGTTAAAATATTGCATCCATGTGCCCAGGTTGTAACTTACGTAGATTCCTAGTATTAGGTTCTGGCTTGGATGCCTCGCATTATAACAACAACAAAAATATTCCACCCCAAAGGGGAAAAAAATAAGCTTATGAACATAAACAACAATACATATAGAACAAAAGTAAATTAGGCTGAACTTGGGGAATTAATGTAAAAAATCATTAATTCATTGAGCAAGTATTTAAGTTCTTTCCAGATCAGAAAAATCAGTAGCAGAATTTTTTTTTCTCCAAAGTACTGGGGCAGAGGGTTCGATTCCTGGCATCCCATATGGTCCCTGGAGCACCGCCAGGAGAAATCTCTGTCTGTAGAGTCAACCCCTGAGCATCGTAACCCAAAAAGAAAAAGAAAAATACAGGCCAGAGAGATACTACCGGGTAAAGCTCCTGTCTTGCATGTAGCTGATTCAGTCCCCATAACTACAAATAGTCCCTAAGAACCACCAGGAATGAGTCCTGAGCGCTGTTGAGTATGGCCAACAATTTTTTAAAATTATTTTTTATTAGTGAATCACCTGAGGTCCTGTTACAAACTTACAAACGCTTGTGTTTGCCTTTCAGTCATACAGTGATCAGTTACCCATCCCTCCAGTGCTCATTCTCCACCACCAATGATCTCAGTATCCCTCCCACACCTCTACCCCCTCCCCCTTCCCTGGCCAGTTCTTTAAAAACACCAAAAAAAACATAAAAACATGAACTCTCCTTTTTAGCAACACCTAGAAATTACAAAAGAAATCGTATATATATATTAAATAAAAGATATATATATACACATATTTCTTTAAATTTTTTTTGAGGGTACTTTAAGCTACCTCAACACACTTAGCTTAGTAAGTTCTCAATAAACAATTCTTGATAGATTAAAGTTGACTGTGTTACTGACCTTGACACAGGAGTTATTTCTGCTACTAAAACCTAGAAAAGATTTTACCAAAAACCTGCTCAGTGAAGAGACAGCACAAAAGAGAAGCTGGAGTGATAGTTCATCAGGTAGGTCACTGGCCTTGTACTTGAAAACCTAGGTTTGACACCAGGTACCACATGCATTCCACCAAGCCCTGCCAGAAGTTATCCCTGAGCACAGAGCCAAGAGTAAGCCAGGAGTAACCCCTGAGCTCTGCCAGTAGAGCCCAGTGGAGCCCTAAAGCAAATTCAAAGGCCCAGTCACTTCTGTATTGTACTTGAGTTCAATTCATACAGAGCTTTCCATATTACAATATTACTGGCCACTGCAAGCAAGCACCCTGCCCACTGTACTGTCTTTTTTAGCCCTCACTTAATTTTTTTTACAAAATTCATTAGCATTTTTATATTTATTATGATATTTGTAAATCCCATGGCAGAGCCTGGCAAGCTACCTGTGGCATATTTGATATGCCAAAAACAGTAACAATAACGGGTCTCATTCCCCTGACCCTGAAAGAGTCTCTAATATGGCAACATTGGAAAAGATGAGTAAGGAGAGGCTGCTAAAATGTCAGGACTGGGACGAATGAAGACGTTACTGGCGCCCACTCGAGTAAATCGATGAATAATGGAATGACAGTGATACAGTGATAAAGGTAAAGGTAAAGGTAAAGGCCCTCCCGTTGATCGTCGATTTGCTCGAGCGGGCCCAGTAACGTCTCCATTGGAGACTTTTGTTGTTACTGTGTTTGGCATATCGAATACTCTCAGTAGTGATTAAAACTTCAACATCTATATTTATCTTGGACAACACCCAAATCTATAATTCTGCCCCAGAAGACAGAAACCATCTGCTGATGCTCAGTTCAGTTCAAGGGAAACAGCACTCACGGAGGAGCAAGTGCAAATGTGTTGATTTCAGAAGGACATGAGCCTCATGTGTTGATTCCATTGTGCAATTCTAGAGATGGGGTTGCTGTCAAGTAATCTTTCTTTGACTCACAATTTCATTGGTGGCATGTGCTAATACAAAGAGCTTTAACTTCAAACATTATTGGGCTAAGACGAATGGTTATGATACAGCAGAAAAGCAAATTGTCACCATTCCTAAGGGCAACAGCATCCCCCAATCCCGTCTGTTCTGCAGTATTCAGCAAAGAATGGATAAAGCAGGGTCGTGATAATCTGAACCCTTATTAATTTCTGTAGTTTATCTTTTAAAATGTTCTTGTCTTTCCCAAACTCAGGAAAGTAGTTGTGATTGGTACAGTACCCAACAGAAAAGTGGTGAATGCACTAGGATACTGCTGCGAGTAATGGGAGAGATTTGGGGGTCACTTTATATTAAAATGTATGCTTACTTCAACAACAACAAAACTTTTAATCTATAATCCTGCCATTATTCTACTTTTCTTTTGAAAGGACTTTATGCTGAAAAGAGGTGAAGTGACATGTGTAATGCCCTATCAATAACAATATGGTCAACTACGGTGTCTAAAAAAGATGAGGGGAAGAAAAAAAAATAGTGCCTGCCATGGAGGCAGGCCTGGGTGGAAAGAAAACTGGACACATTGGTGGAGGGAAGTAGATATTGGTAAAGGGACTGATGCTGGAATAGTGTATGCCTGAATTATACTCAATCATGAATAACTTTGTAATTCATGGTGATTCAATTAAAAAAAATTTTAAAGAAAGTACCTTAGTGAAATTTATTTTCATACCTTCTTACTTATTCGTATCTCAGTTCTTACTGTATACAGTCCAAATTCTCAATCAACTATATAGTCTCAGACCTGACTATAGAAAAGCTGAATACCACTGATCTGGCGGCTCTCACTGCCTGTTGGTGGACCAGTATGTAGGATGGGTACCGAGGCTCAGACATCAAAAAGTTAAACTCTTGCTTCAGTGATATCTTCAGTGATATCTTACACAAGTGAGAAAATTCAGAAGTAATATAAGTGAAGCTAAACATATTGCCTAAATAAATTTAAAACATCTGTAGATGGAAAATATATTTTAAAAATGCATTACAGGGCTGGAGCAATAGTACAGTGACAGCGCGTAGGGCTTGCACGCAGCCAACGTGGGTTTTATCCCCCATCCCCGGGATCCCATATGGTCCCCCAAGCACCGCCAGGAGTAATTCCTGAGTGCAGAGCCAGGAATCACCCCTGAGCATCGCTGGGTGTGACCCAAAAAGAAAAAAAAAGCATTACAGTATTTTTCACTTATATGACAGAATTGTGATTTATTATAAAAAAAAATAAAAAGAGCTCTATAGAGTGATGAGATTGAAAAACTTCATATAAATACAGATTAGATATATAAATAGGTCATTTATAAAGAGAAAGTGCCAATGGCAAAAGTAACAACGTGAAGAAATGCTCAACTCTGGTAATAGGTTAGACAAATAGAAGAAGGTATCGTTCTTCAACTATAATATTGGCAAAAATTAGTAAGATTACATTATGAATGCCAGAGGAAATGGGATGAGGATGGTGGAGATCTCAAGTACTGATTTTTCTGTTTTAGTGAAGCAAATAATTTATTTAGAAAATGTGGGGTAGAGAGAGAATCACATAAGGGGGTAAAGTGAGAGGGAGAGAGAGAGAGGGAGTGGGAGAGAGAGAGACAGGGAAACAGGGAGAGAAGGGGAGAAAGAGAGGGAGAGAGGGGGGAAGAGAGGGAGAGGAGAGACAGAGAATCCCAGAAGAAAGAAGAAAGTTAAGCACTCCATGTGGTGGTCAAGCAACCACTGAATAAGTCGCATGATTCCCCAGGGAGGCATTTTGAGGTAGTAGTTTTCCAATATTTGTTCAGGGTATCAATGACTCAGACCTTCTCTATTTGTTTGTTTACATTTTGAGATGCCTTGGCTCCAACCCAGGGTTTCCTACGTGCAAAACATGTATTTTATCAAAGCCACCTGCCCAGTCCATGAATGTTCAATACCTTTAAAAAATACTTATCTACATATAAATATACCAACATAGATATGTTCTATTTTTATCAACATAGCTATATAATTTAATACCATGTTTAGTAATCCAACAAAAATTAAAATATCAATTCATAAAGATATATCCAAGATGCATATATTATTATTTATAATTAAAAAAGAGTAATCTAAATATCCATCAATACTGTTGTGGCCATTTAATCAATTTGCCATTTAACAAATTATGGCACATTTGTTTTATGGCTTATTTTGCGTCTATTATAAAAAATTCAAAAAAAATTCACTGATCTGTTTTAGTTGAAATGGAAAACATCTTATGATGTACATTTAGGTGAGAGAAGAAAGTAGCACAGTAACTTCCATGGCATAACTAAATTAAAAAATAATAAAAGGTCATAAGTCCTCATAAACATATGTAGTCATAAACATTTAAAAATAAAATGAGGAAGCTTTTATACTAACCTGTTAATATTAGTTATGTCAAGA